TTTGTCAATTAATTATATACTTAATTTAAAAAGTGTATAAATTATATAAAAAGTAAAAAATTTTATTAAATTCATAACGATAATAATAAAAATAATGTCCCGAAAAAAAGAAAAAGATAATAAATCGAATACACTTTATAATTTTTTTACTAGTAATCCAAATAATAACAAAAAAAAAAAAACTTCTAAGTTAGAAACATTATTAAGTTCTGATTCTAATACGAATTCCAATATAAATATTGATACAAATATTAACACAGCTGATAAAAAAAATCAGTTTAACAAAAAAAATTTAAAATTTAATTTAAAATAGAAAGAAGAATTTAATTGGTTACACTATGAAGAAACAGACAAAGGTGGTAAAATGTTTTGTACTTGGTGTGAATTTGCTAAAAAAACAAATAGATTTACAGTTGGATGTGAATGATTAAAGCATGATGCTTTAATTCAACATTTAACTACACAAGATCATAAAAAAAGTAAACCGATTTTAGATAATCAAACAATTGATTATGGATTTAAATATGCAATATCAAAAGACAAATTAGATATTATTCGAATTATGCAATATGTTTATTTTTTAGCTAAACATCATTATGCTACTCACAGATTAAAAGATTTAAAAAACCTAAGCACTCAGCAATTTAATGAAGCAAAAAATGAAGCTTTATTTGGACCTTTTATTGGTTTAAAGAAAGTACAATCAATTATGGATCCACCTAATTTAGTATGTTCAGAATATGGTTCATATGATAATGATGTTTCTGCACGAGAATTTTTAGAAGCAATTTCATTTGTTATTGAAGAAAGTTTAAGTAATGAAATTCAAAACTCACCATATTGGAGTATTCAAATTAATGAAAGCAATACGATTAAACAAGAAAAATGTTAGCAATTGTATCTAAACATCTATCTGATAACTATCCAGTTGTACAGTTTTTAGGCATTATTCAATTAGATGATGCAGCTGCACAATCAATTGTTAATAATATTAATCATTTTTTAATAGCAAAAAAACTTGATATAAGCAATATGTATCATATGGGAAGTGACAGGGCTAGTACAATGATTGGTAAATATTTTAAATTATTATAAATTATTATAGATTTTATAATTTACTGCTATAGCGATATATTACTACTCATTGAAATTTGTTATATTATAGTTTCAATATTTAAACTTCATATATAATTAATAATATAGATTACTAATTATATGCAAAGTTTGAATATTAGAACTCTAACATCATATAATATAACAATTAATTTTCAAGATTTTAACTTTTAAAGATTTTAACTTTTAGATTTTACTTTCAAAATTTTAACACAAACTTAGAGTAGTAATACATCGCTATAATAATAAATTATAAAATCCAATTAGAATAATTAAATAAATTACTTACAAATTAATTTTTTGTAGACAAAAAAAATGGTGTTGCAACTATTTTTAAAAAGCAAAATCCTTTTCTTTTAGAACACTATTGTATTGCTCATAGATTAGCTTTGGCAGCCAAAGATGCTGCTGAAAAAGTTCCTTGTTTTGAAAATTATAATTCTATTGTTAATAATTTATATTCTTATTTTAGTTCTTCTTATAAATGAATGATTAATCTTCAATTAGTAGAACAAACAATAGATGATCCAAATTTAGTTCTTCTTCATATTATTAATACTCGGTGGCTTTCACTAAGCAATATTGTATCTAACTTACATCAAATTTTAAATTCTATAAAAATAGCATTAAAGGAAGATTCTTCAAAAAATGTTATTATGCAAGGACTTTATAATGCAATGGATCAAACCTTTTATTTAGCTACTAAGGTAAAAGTTATATAATATAATATATATATATATATAATTTTAATTTAGTTATTTTTATTTTTTAGTTTCTTGCTGATATTCTTTATGATTTGCAAAGTTTAACGAATTTTTTTCAAGCAGACTATGTTACTATTTCTGAAGTTTATATGTATTTAAATGCAACTATTAATTCAATTACTACTCAATATATTGGTCATAATGGAATTTTACCAAACTATAGAAACTTTTTAAGAGAATATATTGATGAACAAAATATATTAATTGAAGATCTTCCTGATTTTATTTTACAATTTGCAGTTGCAACTATTGAATCTCTTCAAGATCGCTTTCCTGATTCTGAAATATTAAATTCACTAAGAATTTTTGATCCATGTGAATTACCACCACAATATAATCAAATTCATTCTTACGGCAATAGTGAGATTTGTTCCTTAGCAAATTTTTATGAAAAACCAAAAAAACTTAATCAAATTGAATATCTAGCACTTATTGATAATAATTCACTAACTAAAGAATGGGATATTTTTAAGTATCAATTACTTAATTATCGTAATACTACAACAATTTATATATGGAAAGCACTTTTTGATCTTCCTAATTTTTCTACTCAATTTCCAAATATTAAAAAACTTGCATTAATTTTTTTAATTACACCTCTTTCTAATGCTGTAGTTGAAAGAGTTTTTTCTCACCAAAATTTAATCAAAACTAAATCTCGAAATCGACTTAATGTTTCTACTCTGTATATGCTACTTTTAATTTCACTTAATGGGCCAGAAAGTACAATTTTTGATTGGAAAAGAGCATATAATTACTGGATA